TTTTTTTTTTTTTTTTTTTTTTTTTTTTCCTTTTTGCATGTAGGCTGATGACAGGGATAGGGAGAGGGAGAGGGAAAAGGCAAACCTTTTGAAGGAGGACATGGACGGTTCTGCCACCTCCAAGAGGCGAAAACTTAAAAGGGAGCATCTGTCATTAGCTGAGGCCGGTGAGTATTCTCCTGTTGGCCAACCACCTCCTCCGATAGGTGTTGGTGCGTCTCAATCTTATGATGGACGAGAAAGAGGAGACCGGAAGGGAGTAATGATGCAGCGTGCCGGTTACCTGGACGACCCAGGCTTGAGAATTCACGGTAAAGAAGTGGTCAACAAGATGACTAGACGTGAAGCTGATCTGTATCCTTTAAATCATATCTCCATGCTTTGTGCATTATCATTAATGTTCAATGTTATAATTTTTGTGCACCCATCTTAGTCTGGCCTTGGATGATGATGAGTTTCATTTATTCCATTAATTTGGATCTACTCCTTAACCAGGATTTAGAATGTACGACCGAGAATGGGACGATGAGAAAAGAATGAGAGCAGATCAGAAGCGGAGGCATCGGAAATAAGCTGGCCAATCAAATTTTTATGTGTAGCATACACTGAATCCCTCTACTTGTTAGGGTGAAAACTGCAAACATGATATCTAAGCTGCCTATGGAGAGGTGAACATCCACCGATAATCTTGTAAAAGATCAATTCTAAATGCAGACGAAGACAGTGTTGTAATTTATGGAAAGTCGCTGAGCCTCCCGAGAGGGAATAGACACCCGCTCCTGTAATGACGACCAATTCATAATCAAACAGGAAGGGACACAGGGTGAATTTCTGCGATTGAGGACTATTGTAATTTATAATCCAGATTAGGATAAAGTTGTGTATCATATTTTAGCCCCCCCTCCCCACCGAGTATATTTGTTCTGTATGCCATTAGTAGTGAGAGTATGAGTTCTTCATAATTAGTGTGAACGTGGGGCATTTTCCCATCCCTTAGCATTCCTCCTGCCCTGCTTTCTAGACAAAAAAAAAGGGTCACCCAATTTAAACGAGGGTGCTATTGAATCATCTCCCATGAGTTTCACTTCCAAAAGATTTTGAATATGAAGCTTCTTTTGTGCTATTATTTCTTTTGAATTCGATATGGTTACAATCGAATTACCATCAAACAACCATATAAAGTCGAGTGTTTAATCGAAAAGTATTTACATTTCATTACTAAATTGCGTATTGTTTTGAAGTAAATTACATTTTTTAAGAAATATTTAGTGGCAGGATAATAGTTGGGATTGAAGAGTTCCATTTTTTTCTCGCTTAAGCACCGTCTTCCTTCTCGTTTTCTAATTCAATCAATGGCTTCACTGCGAATCCGCTGTGATGAGAAATCTCCCATGGAGTGCCCACAACTACGTTTCTTCCCGTAGCCGCAACTTTGTTCTCAGTCTCGTCCCTTGCCGGAGAGTTGAACGACGACGATTCTGATGTATTTGTGAAAGAGGTAAATGAAGATGACGATTCCGTCAGCTGCCACATTATGCCAAAGGATGATATTAGGGCTTGGATCCGCGATTCCGGAATACGTTCGATATCGGGGAATTGATACAGGCTGCACACTTCGACGAACTTGCACCAATCGTAAAGCTCCGCTAGTCGATCTGCTTGAACGGCCGCCTTCCTGTATACTCGGATTGCTGCAGCGCAACTCCGGTGCGGCAGTTGAAGAAGACCGTCTTCGATTGAATTGATATCCCGACAGACGGACTGATAACAAATGAAGCTCTCACGTATTATGTGCTTCATCGCTATTCGAACTGCGGTGCTTCGTGCCGCTCTCCCGGCCGGCCTGCAGTCGATTACTCTGTCAATTAGGCTCTGCATCTGTGTCGATATTTCAATTACTCTGTTAATTTTTTTTATTCTACTTGAAGTTGTTCCGATAGCATCGCCTTCAGATGAAACGCCCGGTACTTCGGTGCTATAGAAGAAATCGGAATCCAGAGCTTCATTAAGCAACCGAGCGTAGGATCTGATGAAAGAGGCATAATCTTCATCCTCACGGATGTGGCGCTGATATAGAGAAATGAAACCAAATGCCCGGCTGCGAAGAAGCTCTAGTCGAAATTCACTGTTCTGAGGGGCTGATTGGATCAATCTGTGGAGTAGAAGCAGACATTTGAGTCCAACTCGCCAACAGCGAGTTTTTCGAAATCGACGGGAAAAGCTGAGAGAAAAGGTGCGACATGACGTCGGAGAGAAGGCGAAGATCTTGAGAAGCTCTTGAACGTACTTCTCCGACAACGGTGAGTCAGTTGGAGAGGTGGCTTTGATGACTATGAGATTGACGTTGGAAAATCCTCCGGCTGTGATGAGTTTGGCGTAGCCGACGGAACAATTCTCTTTGACGGCAGTGAGAACTTGCTTGAATCTCTTCTGCATCATGTCAATCGATTGAGAGAAAGAATTCTTACAAAGATGATGCAAAAAAAAACAGGTGAAATTGTAAATGCATATACAAAACTCGGTTTGATTTTATGCAATCTGATAAGAACTGTTTTTAGCTTTGGGTGAATCGCAGTGCTTCAACTTCAAGAACATTTTGTTTTCTGGCTTTCAATTATAACCAATAATACCTTAGAATAGGTTCCTGTTTCAATTTTTCATCTAATTTCCCAAATTCAATAATACCTTCTAATACCTTATAATACCTTATGTATATATATATATATATATAACACTGGTAGAAGCAATAATAAAGGGTCTTTTAAAAAAAATAATAGGTAATTCTTCTTTGGTCTTATTAATCTCTTTTCAAAATAAGAAGAGAATACTTTGTGATTGATTAGGTAGGTTATGCATAGAGTAATGTCTTTATTTGATTAGATAAAATAGGATCATTACACTTACTATTAGCTTGGTTTGATGAATTCTATGAAGTATGAACGATATGTGCTCTATGGCCCCTCTAGTGTCATACTTTGTGGTTGATTGACATTGATTATGTTATGTTATGTTATGTTATGGTATGACGTATGATATATTATGTTATAAGTTATACTATGGGATGTTTGTCATGTTATAGATCTTGTGATGACTTTTATGTTGTATGATGCATGATATCTCTATATGTTATGTCATCACACTATGTTAGCATGTTCACTTTAGATTTATGAAATAATGTCAAGCCACTAATATTATTCATGAAAGTAATATTATGAAAGAATGAATGTATGACCTGCATGATTTAAAGTTACAAAAACTCCATGCATTTTTTAATGTATTGGAATAATTTCCCTGTTATGATGAGTACAAATGTGTACAATATGATATTATGCATGTTCCTTTCCTCGGCGGCTTTTCTAGCAGCGTGCGTGTACGTTAATTGAGTTCAGAGGTACGTATATGAGTCTAGCTGGGGGTTCATGTGCGTGAACGTAGGCCGTGTGCAAAGAAGTACTACACATCCAGTTGACTCTGACTAAAAAGTAAGACAAGGCCATGATGATAATGAAAGGATAGGTCTCGACATAGTTGCATGTGCTTTCATTTCTTAACCCAAATAGTGGAGCTACTTACCGAGTATTTTTAAATACTTACTTAAGCTATGTGCTGCATTTTTTCAAGTAAAGGTAAACAAACCATGTGCAGATGACAACGTCCTCATGGAGGTCAAAGAATCAAAACTAGGATAGTGTATTTATGTTTTAAATTGTAGCCCTTAAATTAGTTCATAACGTTTTCATTACTTTGAACTTATTATTACTCTATTTTTGCTTTTCTATTAAGGTTTACTTTTATTTGATTTTTTTTTTTTAGTAACGTTTAAATTCATGACATTCTTTATAAAATATTTTAAAGAGATTTCTATGCACGTTATAGGTCTCCTTTATAAAATTTTAGTTATTAATTTTGACAAATATATTATATATATATTTGGGTTGGTCAACTCACTTCAACCCAACCCAATCCAACCCAAATAAAGGGTTGAATCATCTCATTTGGGTCATCAACCTAATCAACATAAGAAATAATATTAGACTATTATATATGGGTAGTGGACGGTTGAATCTTCTAGATTTTTAAATAAATATATAATTAAGAATTATATATTTTATATATTTTATTGAAGGTCTTTTTATGGATATGTCAATTCATACATTTATTCTCGAATATATTTTATATAATTCGAGACGTTGCATACAATAAAAAAAAACAACCTATTCCTGCTAAAAGTTGACCCATAATTAAAATAATATCACGTAATTAATATTTTATAAATATTTTAATAGTCTCCCATGTTTGAATGGATTTTTATTTGGTCTCTTAACATTAATATTTAAATTTATTTCTATTTGATCATTGAAGTCTGAAATTTGAAATTTGAAAGTTGACTGGTATGTTTTATTGATTCATTAAACTAAATATTAGTTTCTAAAAATGAATTTCTAATAATGAGTTTCAATTGGAATGTTAATTATTATTTCATCTAATAAATTAATTTTTTTTTTAAATAATAGATAGAATTATCCATATAAAATTAAAAAAAAAAAAGAAAAAAAAAGAGAACGCACACCCCAATTGAGAAGTCAAAAAAATGGGGGAAAAAAAAAAATCATCTGCTTTCAAAATGGTTTGATTTGACGAATTAATGGGACCTTCATTTTAAATCACCCCATTATTTCCGGCAGCCAAAGATCTCAGTAACCATGTCTTTCGCCGCCACCCCTCTCTCCATCCTCCTCCTCTTCTTCTTCTTCTTCACATCTCCTCTGTCTCCGGCCGCCGCCCAACTGCCGCCGAAACCCACCAATTTCTCCGCCTTCTCGATATCCCAATCCCCATGGCGGCCGACCCAGAATCTCATTCTCTTCTCCCCCAACTCCCTTTTCGCCGCCGGCTTTCAGCCACTACCAAAAAACTCCAATCTCTTCGTCTTCTCTGTTTGGTACTTCAACATCTCAACGGACAACGTCGTCTGGTCAGCCAACCATCTTTCTCCGGTCAACCGCTCAGCGGCTTTGGTCATCACGCGCACCGGCCAGCTCCGTCTCGACGACGGTTCCGGTCGCAATCTCTGGCCTTCCAACAGTAATGTTTCTGCAAATCCAAATTCAACCCAATTAATCCTTCGCAACGATGGTGATTTGATTTACGGCACATGGGAAAGCTTCCAATTCCCCACCAATACTATCTTGCCTAACCAGACATTAAATGGAACCACCATCGTCTCCAACAACGGCAAATATGCGTTTAAGAACTCTGTTAATTTGACGTTTGGTGCAGAAAGGTACTGGACCCCTGGAAACCCATTCCAGATTTTCCTGATCGAAGGTCAAATCATCATAAACAATCAAACCCCAATTTTCCCTTCTGATTTTAACTCGACCCGGCTGCGGAAATTGGTGGTCGACGATGATGGAAACCTCAAGATTTTCAGCTTCAACCCAAATCTCCGGCGGTGGGATGTCGTTTGGCAAGCACATATAGAGTTGTGTGAGATCTTTCATACTTGTGGCCCAAATTCCATCTGTATGAGTACTGGCAGTTACAACTCCACCAACTGTGTCTGTGCTCCCGGATTTATCCCCGATCCTCGCGGCGGAGCACGGCAAGGATGTCACCGGAAACTCAACATGTCAAATACACCCAAGTTTCTTCAACTGGATTTTGTGAGTTTCAGAGGTGGAGTTAAACAAATCTCCCTGCAAACCCCAAATATTTCAGTCTGCCAAGCGAATTGCTTGAAGAATTCCAGCTGCGTGGGCTATACATTCACCTTCGATGGTAGCGCCCAATGTGCGCTTCAGCTTGACATTTTGTCGAACGGGCTGTGGTCCCCAGGGATGAAGATAGCTGCTTTTGTTAAGGTCGACAATTTGGAAACAGATCACTCAAATTTCAACGGAATGATGTATAAACTCCAAACCACATGTCCAGTTCACATAACCATACGGCCGCCGCCAGTGATTAAAGACAACACGACAAGAAACATATTGATAATCAGCACCATATTCATTGCCGAACTAATTTCCGGGGCGGTTTTCTTCTGTGCTTTCTTGAAGAGATTTGTAAAATACAGAGACATGGCTCGCACGCTTGGTCTCGAATCACTTCCCGCCGGCGGGCCAAAGCAGTTCACTTACGCCGAGCTAAAGACGGCCACGAATAACTTCTCGACCTGCATCGGAAGAGGCGGATTCGGCGAAGTCTTCAAAGGAGAGCTACCGGACAAACGCGTGGTCGCCGTTAAGTGCTTGAAAAACGTCGCGGGTGGCGACCGCGACTTTTGGGCGGAGGTAACCATCATCGCTAGGATGCACCATCTGAATCTGCTTCGATTGTGGGGATTCTGCGCGGAAAAGAATAAAAAAATGTTAGTGTACGAACATATTCCCAATGGATCGCTCGACAAATTCCTGTTCCCCAAACCTTTACCCTCCGATTCGGAGAAGAACGAAACAGAGTCGTACGATGAAATCCCCTCGCTGGATTGGAACATCCGGCACCGAATCGTGATTGGGGTAGCGAGAGCAATCGCGTACTTGCACGAGGAATGCCTGGAATGGGTATTGCATCGTGACATAAAACCAGAGAACATTCTTCTGGACAACGATTTTTGCCCCAAATTGTCGGATTTCGGACTGTCTAAACTGAGGCAAAATGAGGAGACGAGGGTGAGCATGTCTCGGATTAGAGGGACGCCGGGTTACGTAGCGCCAGAGCTGGTGAAATTGGGATCGAATTGGATGACGACAAAAGCGGATGTGTACAGTTTTGGAATGGTGTTGTTGGAGATTATGAGTGGGCGGAGGAATTGTGAGATGAAAAGATCGACGGTGGAGAGTGCGGAGTGGTACTTCCCTGGATGGGCGTTCGAGAAGGCGTTCGTGGAGGAGAGGATGGAGGAGATTCTAGACGATCGAATAAGGGATGAGTGGGAGAGTGGAGGGCATTGGGGGATTGTTAATCGTATGATGCAGACGGCGATGTGGTGTCTTCAAAGCCTACCGGAGAAGAGACCGTCGATGGGGGAGGTGGTGAAGATGTTGGAAGGGAAGCTTGAGATTGCTCCTCCTGAAAAGCCCTCCGTTTACTTCTTGTCGGAACACCCTACCACTTCATGAACCACTTCTTGTCCGGCGAGGCCCATTAAGGGATGTTTCTTCTACTTGGGCTCATTTGAGTCCTTAATCAAATTCCCTAATTCATGAACGGATTAATCCATCTTTGGGTCCATCAAGATCTAATCCGCACCATTCAAAACAAACAACGAGGACACATTGGCTAGATACACTCTCACCTCGCAAAAGATTGGCTTCCACCCATGTGACCTACAACCAATTGGAACCAATCAAAATCAGTCCATCTTCATATTGTTGTATCCCAATGCCACCCACAGATTAAGAAATAGACATCGGAACAAGATACCTTAGCTTCCAAGTACAAACTTAAGTTTTCAAACTTTGTGAGGTATCATTATCAGAAGATTTCTGGGAATATACAAAAAGAAGAAAAGGAAAAGCAGCCACGCCTGCCCCCACACAGCTTTCAACTTTGAGTTGAAATTATAAAAACCCACTTTTGAAATGAGCCAAAAAAAAGTATAAAGTTATAGAGATTTGAGCATTTAGATTTGTTCATCTCACACAGCTGCAAGCCATTCAATGGAACCAAGTGTCGGGTCCTGTGAGCCTATGACCACACTTTCCCTTTTCTCCCATATTTCTGACTCTGATTACCATTTCATCCATCGTCTATCATTGCCCTTTGTTAATGCCTTCAAACCTCTCTTATTTCGCAATCTTTTGTAATGTTATCCCAATTTATGCTTACTTTCTTTGACAAACCGGTCATTAGATTGGATTTAATTCAATTTATACGCCCTTTTTATGTTTGTAAGTTAAATGAGGCTCCTGTTGCCAAATTTCATTTTGATGGAGTAAGACTTAAAATAAGAGTAAATTATAGCTAAATGTAGAGGGCTAGAGATAAGGCCTGCTTGCTTGGTTTTAATGCTGCAAATAGAACTTCAATGTTAAGAAGTGTTTTGCGACTTTGGACCTAGAGATTCACATTTTCAGGGTATCTAGACGTTGTCTTTGCAAGTCTTTGAAACTAGCTTACAATATTTAAAAAATTATTGAAGGTTCTATAATTACTTTAATTTTATTTTCATAATAATTTTTTTCAATTTTATTGTTTAAAATCACCATCTAAATTTACATAGAACAGTTGGTTTTGATCATTTTGATTTTGTACTTTCTTTCCGGGAAACTTTTTCTTGGATTTTCTCACTTAACAAACACCAAGTTGAATGCTGCCTTCTGGCAACCACGCGCCTGAGGAATCTTTCCTCTTTTTTATTTATTTTTTATTAAAATGAAAATTAAAACTCAATTTAGTAATTTTAAATATTTATTTATAAGCTAACAAAAATAAATATCATATTTATTTAGGACTATTATACTGATATGACCCTATTTAGAGACCATGTTTATGTTTGGTTAAATCCACCATTTGTGTGGGTTGGCCTTCACCCGTTGCCAATGAGGGAGGTCAATTACTCATAGTATTTTTAAAAACTCATCATATGCACAACATTTTCAAGTAAAAGCAAAGTATCCATGTAAAAATGACGATAAGAGTCGAAGATTAGCTCTAATAGATTCAACGAGTTAAAATTCATTGCCCACACGATATCCAAGAGTTCGAGTAGAAGCCAAGCACAATCCCTAAGCATCAATCGATGGGTCGAGAACATTTCAAAAGGAAAATTATCAAGCTTAATCGAAAGAAAGCAAATCGAGGTGAATACAGAGATCAAAGTTAATTATGGTTGATGAAAAAGCTGACTAGAGTGAAAGTTAGAACTTGAATTGAGTCATAATTTAAAAGATAAGGTTGATAGACAATCGAGCACATATAGAAAATGGAACCGAACATGGAAGGCATCATAAATTCATAATTGATACATTCGTGTGAATTACATTAGATTACAAAAAGATTCGATTCCAAAAGTTTGTGAGCAGAAAGAACAAACACCAGATAAGCACTGCACTGGCCATTGCGTTCAATCGCACAGCCTTTCAATCTCTTCTTTTCTTGTTTTTGTCAATTTGTGTCTTTTTAAAGTCAACTTTTCTTCCCAACCTTTTTCATCTCCACTTTCTCATTGGAAAAGAAAGAAAAAATAATAATTATGTCTTACGACAATAATTTCTCCCTTTTTTTCTATAAAAAAAAAACATTAAAAAATCAATCTTAAAACACTCAAAACATTTAGTTAAAACTAATTTTAACCTTAGAATATACTTTACTTTTAAAAAAAGAAAAAGAAAAAAAAAAGGAATTATTCATAATGGGTTTTAATTATTTTCTTGGACTTATTTTATGAAAGAAAAGAAAAAAAAGAAATTGAATTTGGTAAATTTTGGTTGGCAAATTGTGAAGTGGATTTTTGGTCCTTGTAATGATGAGTAAGGCTTGTGGCTTGCACACGCCTTGTGGTTATGATTTATGCTTTTGACCTTTTGTAGAAGCTTGTTTCCAACATGTTGTGGAGTCTCGCTATCATGAGAATGTTTACTTAATTCAACTCATCCAAAGTTATCTATTTATAATCATATAAATTACAACGATATAGAGAAGTAATAAATTGAAATAATAATAAATTAAAAGATACCTATGGTAAGAGATATTTATCTTGTAATAAAATATCAAATATGATATCTATGGTAAACTATAATTTAATACTAAATATCTTTAACACTCTCTGCAAGCTAGGCGTCAGTTTTGAACGAACGTGAAGTTTGAATCTGAAAAATTCAAAGAGAGGTCGAGAAACACTTTTCGTGAAGATGTCAACAACCGGGTTTGGAGTTGGAGGAGGCGTAAAGAAACACTTTCTTGCCCATCAAAAACTGTAGAGGGATAGTCGCTTAGCGGCGATGCTGCCTTAGCTTCGGCAAGAATATGTCTAATCTATGAAGAGGGATCGTTGTTCAGCGATGATGCTGCCTTGATTTTGATTATAATATTTGTAACACAAGAAGTAAAAGGAGAAAACTTAGAGTAAGGAACAAAAATTGCCACATTGTGTGAAGGGGACAATTTTGGGGAAGGGCAGTCGGAAGAGTCGCCACATTAGGCGAATGAGCCAATTTTGGCGAGAAGGGCAGTAGTGACTTGGTTGGTGAAGAGGCCAGTGTGACACCCAGATTTCAAAGGCAAATCTCTGCAGAAGGTCGATAGATTTCTCGAGATTGTGTATATTTTCGATGGGAACACTCATGAAACGCCAGAATTTATTTATCAAGTTTTAATTAAATCTCCTTAATATTATTTTATGATAGATGGAGCTTAAAATAAATATATTAGAGTTATTTTTATTATTATTATTATTTGAAGGAATGGTGAGTTTTCATGTAAGAATATTTCAAATATTTGTAAAAAATAAAAAATAATAATAAGAATAATGTTGTTCACAGTAAACAACATCCCAAAATTAAATCCTTACCATTTATGAAAATAGTTTGAAATTTTGTTATTATATAGAATTAACTCAACTTTTTCTGTTTTTTTTTTCACTTAGCTCGAAGAAAAGACAGCCTAAGAAAAGTGGAATTCATTTGTTTGTGTCCTTTCTTTCCAGTCTCTCCGTTCAGAGAGAGAGAGAGAGAGAGAGAGAGAGAGAGAGAGAGATAATGTGTGATTCTTTATAAATTGAGCCATTTCTTTGGTTTTTTTTCACAACCCATTAGGGCATTTTCCTTGGATTCTCTTCTTAATTAAGTTCAGTGGTGGTTCAACAATGGGGGAAGCTGCTGATTTCACACACTCAAAGAAGCAGAGCCTTCTTCTTCATGAGCATGAGGAGAAGCACTTCATGTCCAGTGATGTTGTTCGCGACATCATTATGGGTGTCTCCGATGGCCTCACCGTCCCCTTTGCCCTCGCAGCGGGACTTTCCGGTGCCGATGTTACCTCCAACATCATCCTCATCGCCGGAATTGCTGAAGTTGCTGCCGGAGCTATCTCCATGGGACTTGGCGGGTACAGTACTACAACACCCTTAATTAAACTACTTCCTTATTTTTCCTGTTTATTTCATTTTAGTTCTTGTTTTTAGAAGTGGTTTGGGAAGTAGATTGAAAGATAATACAGCCCAGATTTTTAAAATAAAAGGATAATTAAATAAATAAAACCTTTAGTGGGTCCCACAAAATGCACATATTTTGATTCTCCCTCCTCTAAAATTTAGTATTTAAACTTTCAAAAAAAATTAACTATATAATATAGATTAATTATCGAAATTAGTTAAATAATAATAGTTTAAATATCAGAAAAGACATATTTTTCAATTTGTTTTTTTTTTTTAAATTAGCAATAAAATACCAATTAAAAACTAGATTTAAGGTTTATTAAAGGTATAGGGAATAAACTTGAATATTTAAAATTATATATACTAAAGTACGAAATCTAATGAAGGTTTATTGAAATGAAATGAAGATATCTGGCAGCTGAGAGTGAAGCGGATCATTACACGAGAGAATTGAAGAGGGAAGAAGAAGAGGTGATTGCAGCTCCAGACATAGGTAATTTGGGGTTATTAGTTTAATTCCTTAGTTAAATAATTAATTAATTAATTAATTAAATGGATTAATAATAGGTAATTGTAATTTAATTATTTCAGAGGCTGCTGAGGTGGCAGATATATTGTCACGGTATGGGGTTGAAGCCCATGAGTACGGGCCTGTTGTTGCTGCTCTTAGAAGGAACCCTCAAGCATGGGTTGATTTCATGATGAAGTAAGACTTTTTATTTATTTATTTATTTATTTATTTTTAAAGAAAAGGATTATGTAAAGTAATTAAGAAATTTTGATGGTTGCAGATTTGAGTTGGGGTTGGAAAAGCCGGACCCAAAGAGGGCAGTAATAAGTGCCTTGACAATAGCTATGTCTTACGTAATGGGAGGGTTGGTGCCGTTATCGCCTTACATGCTGTTCCCTTCGCCTGCACAAGCTGTGATTGCTTCGGTGGTCGTTACTATATTAGCATTGCTTGTCTTTGGCTTTGCCAAGGGCTATTTCACTGGCAATCGTCCCATAATGAGTGCCCTACAAACTGCCTTAATTGGAGCCCTTGCGTCCGCCGCTGCTTTCCTTATTGCAAAGGCTTTTCGTACCTAATTTAGAATCATTTATCGATTAGCCTACTACAATA